AATGATAGAGTACATCTTGCGAGAAATCCATGAAGGAATATATAGAAGTCATCTCAAACCTCAGCCTTTGGTTTATAAAATGCTGAGGTAAGGCTATTACTGGCCCACCATCAGGAGGGATACAATTGAATTGGTGAAGAGATACGACAAGTATTAGAAATTTACCTACGTGCAATATCTGTTTTTCATCGAGCTCACTCCTATCATCAGCTCGTGACCATTCATGTAGTAGAGAATGGATGTCTTTAAACCATTCACCTCTGCCACGAGTCAGAAGTGATTCGTCTTAGTGGTAGTATATTACTTCATAAAATGGTTGGAGCTGAAGCTCTAGCCACCACTATAAAAGCATAAGTCAAAAAATTTACGTGAAAAAATATAGTTTATAGATTTAGATTGCTTGATCTATAATAATAGACAATGACAAACAATTTGAGAATCCAAGGTTCAAGGAATCGTGCTTAAATCTTCACATCAACCTCAAGTTTATGTCAGTTGCCCACTCTCAATCCGATGAGCAAGCTAAAGCTACAAATAAGATAATATTATAAGCTCTAAAAAAGAGGCTCGACGTAACAAAAGGAAAGTGGGCCGACAAGCTATTGAGAGTTCTGTGGGCTTTGAGGATAACCATGAAAGTGCCTACTAGTGAAACCCCCTTCCACTTGGCATTTAGAACATAGGCTATAATGCCAATTAAAATTAGTCTACTGAGCTTAAGAGTTGAATTGGCATCAGAAAAAAAAATTAAAAAGGCACTTAAGGTTGACCTTAACCTTACCAAAGAATAAAAAGACATAACCCTAACACAGATTATAGCCTACCAATAAAAGGTAACCAGCTATTATAATAAGAGGGTCCAGTGCAAGCATATCAGGAAGGGTAACTTGGTACTTAAAAAAGTTAAAGCTTCAGGGGTAAATGATCGATGTGGTAAATTAACCTTGATGTGGGAAAGATCATATATTGTTAATAAAGTCGTTCATGATACGACCTACAAATTACAGAATCTAAATGGCAATATCTTTCCAATGACGTGAAATGCAGACAACTTAAAAATTTATTATCAGTAGTTTGGTATAAACTAAGCTCACACTTGTATTATTTTGTAAATAACACTGCCATCTTAAAGATATGAAATGCAAATAAGTCTATTACTGGTAGATTAATACAAATTGAGCTCATACTTGTATTATTTTGTATGCAAAAACACGAATTAAATTATTTTCGATAAGCTTATGTTTAAATGATTTGAAGAAATTTGACCTAGAATTTGAAATTATGTTCATTTGATTTAAGCAATTATGTAAGTCTTCAGTTCAATAATCCACCTTCAGATTAATTAACCGTTCTCAAACTTATGCAAATAAGAAAGAAATGATGGTAAAGCCAAGTTGAAACTTAAGAAATTTTCCTTTCTATTTCATTATAAAAAATACATTGGTTAAAGTATGTGAGGTTATTACAAAAAGCCTAACCTCAAAGTAAAAAATTTACAAAGCAAAAAATTACAAAATTTATTCATTAGTAGCAGCAGCGGTGGGGGAAACATTTTTATCAGCAAAGCAAAATGGATGACCTCACTTTTGACAACCTTCACATCTTTTTCTTCGATCCCTAGGGTAACCTTCAACTCGTTTTCTAAGGCCTTATCTTTATTCTCTTCCTTATTTTCATCTTCCTCGAGCTAATTTGGACAAGGCCTTGATTTGATATTGTTAATGTTAACATCAGAGAGGTTAAGGTTGAGAAAGGAGAATTTGAATTGTACTTTTTTTTTTGCCAGTTGGAAGGCACTACATACATTCTTTCTTGAAAACTCTACCTTCACCTGGAGATATTCATATGAGGCCTTGTACTCATCCACAGCCTTCACTTTATGCTCTTCTTTCCTCTTGTTTCGAGCCTCCAGCTTGGACCTTAGCCTCGTAATTTTGGCTTGAACATCATTCAGCTTTAGCTCAACCTATTGCTTCATAGATTTGGCTGAGGTCTTGTTAATCGAGATAGCTTCCAACCTTGCTATTAGCTCATCCAACTTTTTTCTCAATTCAACTTTCTTTTTGTGGGACACATTAAAGTTTAACTTGACATTATCCAATGCCTCTGAGCTATTTTTGTACTCTTCGACAAGGGCAACCATATTTTTCTTAGCCTTCAGCATATGTCTCATAGTAAGATAAGCATGGTGGAGGGTCTGACTACTATTTTTCACAAGCTAAGATAGGAACTTCTTTCAAACTACATAAAAAGATATTAGACTTAAAAAAATAAAATAATAACAATAAAAAAAAACCAAGCTAAAGTCAGAAGATACTCACCAAGAGAAAGAATATCGATCTTACATAACCTTCTAGCAATGTTGAGGTTGGAGATAGGGTCATTTATTGGAATATACTCCAACTCTACAAATATTCTCTCCGAGCTAGGCTTTAGCAATGTAGTTTTAAGGTTCTATGAAATAGAGGATAAGGTATCCACCCATAGTCTTTGGCTAGAAAGAATGGTGGCGGCATCGATGTAGATGATAGATCCCAACCTACCCTAGCTTTCGACTTTCAACCTAGGGGAGAGCGGGGCATAGAGATGCTGACCACATTGTCCCCCTTACGAGACGAAGCCTTAAGCTTGATTTTTTTCTCTTTTGATCCTTGGGGAATGTTAGTACAGCAAGTCATCGAAGTTCTTACCACCGACCATCTCTGTAAAACTGAGCTAATAATTAGATAAAAAATTAACTTGAAATAAAACTCTATGAGGTTACTTTAAACCTACCCTAATACTTTGTCTTATTTATTTCTTTTGAAAAGGTCAGCCCACAAACATCGATGACGAGCTCTCTTTATGTGTAAAATTCAAAATCTTATCTCGATTTGATAGACTAAAGATGGAGAGGGCCATCGGTATGTCCATAAAAGAGTTAGGTGTACTTTTTATTTCCCAAGCCTCAATCGCGAGCTCACCATCTTTACTTGCTTTTTATTTCTTAAGGCATAGAAAGAGTAACTTTTAATTCTTTATTAAGCTTGGTCAATCGACGACAAAGTTTTTATTTGGCCAAGTTGTGATGTAGAATCACCTGCTATCACTAAGATATTTTTTAAGAAAAAAAAAACTCCTTAAATAAAGAAAGAAAATGAAGAATATTTAGTTGTTGATAAAGAATAATAAAAGTGACTATGTACCAAATAGAATTCAAGACGAGCTAATTGTAGTCAAATTGTAATAATTAAAAATTAAAATGAATAAAAGATGATATGGAAACCTCAAATCGACCATAAACGAATCCTAATATACATAGAGCCGATATGGCTCACTTTATTAATGACCTAGTCTAAGGAGTTCAATATTATTATATTGTACCTTTTTTGGGAAAAAAAATGGTACCTAAAGATGAACGTGTTGTGCCAAGCAAATGTTAAGACAGTCTTCTAGATTTGTCTTACCTTTTAGCTTGTTCATCATGTCTTTGGAGATCACGTTGAAGTCACACGAAGTATATACAAGGACCTCATCGAGTTCATCTTGCACCTCGGAACTCTTCCCCTTACCATTATTTTTCCCTGTATAGGTGCTCTCTTCTTTTTGTTCTTTCTTAGAACCCTTCGTCAGAAGAATATGACTTTTAAATGAGAGACGGAGCTTGAGAAAGAGCAGTGGATAAAAGCAGCTCAATTCCAAAGAAAGAATGACGAGGTAGAGACTCCTCAGAAAAGGACGAGATGTTCAAAAAAATTGATTGAAGGAGATGAGTAAAAATGGCAGGAGGTGAAGGAGATTGAACCTTAAAAGGGAAAATGACTAAAAAGAAAGAAAGGTCAGCTATAGAAGATGGACAGACCTAAGAGATGGGGAAAGCAGGTAGATGTTGAAGTTCATAGTCGATTTAAGCACATAGTTCTTTCATGCTTAAAACTCACTCGCCTCTGCTTAAATATTCTTTTTATTGCATCACTACTCTTCTTCGGACATCAGGTTGAACCAATAAGCCATTTTTGCATAGTTGTAGCCCTGCAAAATAGGGGGATCATGTTATCATCTTATTACCTTTGCTGGCCTCCCTTTGGTTTTACCTTATAACTCTCAGTCTTTTCAAAACTCATACTAGAGGACATGGTTAGAAATAAGTACCAAAGTGAGTGTAGAAAAAACTTTGAAAGCTGGACAGCTATTGAGATAAAAAATTTTAGGTCAGATTGAAAGCAAAAAAGGCAAAAAGTGGAAAGTTGAAGTCTTACCAGCCTTTTATATAGACGCACTGCAGACCAGATGGATGATACATACCATGCCACATGTCGCAGCATAGGTGGAAAGATATATTTTCTTTTTTCTGCTTTAAATTTTCTCTTTTAAACCACCTCTCTTTTCATTTAATACTGTCAGACTAACCTAACTGGATGAACCTCCTAGTTGGACCATGGCTCATAATTAGTCATCATCCAAAACTAACATCCCTATATAACATTAGTCTTTGATGAACCATGCAGTCAATCTGTCTCACACAGTGATGTCGGTAATAAATTTGACGATCTGATACTAGATTGCTTAATGGGGGGAATAGAGTGTTAGGGTATAATGGTTTTTTTTCCTCTCAAAGCCTTTAGCAGATAATCAGAGGTATCTTTATCATTTATACTAACCTGACATATTAGGTCAGCCCAACATGGTTAGTGCCACCCTAGTTTGGCTCCGTCCTAATTGTCCCCTTATAGTCTCCCTTAATTAACCTATAAATTATGAAGATTCGGGCAACATGAAGCCAGATTCATTCCATTTATTTTTTTTCTCTCTCTTTTTCCTTTTTTTTTTGCAATTTGATCTCTATTGACTTGTGCGTCAAAATGCAAATACAAGAAACACCTTCTATTTTTGCCTCTAACTGTCCTTCTATTTTATATTTATAGGAATATCCTTAAGTAAGAACTTGACACCAACACCAACCATGAACAAGTCTACATACGGCTATGGCCTCCAATCCAAACGAGAAAAAATGGTTTTCTTCTTGTTTGTTTTATTTACCCTTGTGTAAGCCAGACCCCACTGCCCAAGTCAACAATAAAAGAAACGAGAGAGGCATAGATTGGAAGTATGCATTTTCGTCAAATTTGTTAGAGGAACGTATCTGCTTACGTGCATTGAGTTTAATCACACATTGATGGTTCAATTAAGTATATCTAAATTTCTAGACTTCTTTTTGTTTTTTTGAAGAATAGATTTCTAGACTCCTGATTCAATACCAATCATCTCACAAATATTCCAAATTGCTGTTTTCTAAGGTATTTAACCATTAGGATCTCAGACTTCATTTCCTAATTCCCATTTCAAATTATATAATCTATAAGAATATTCTGCCCTTGCTAAAGTGGCCATGCCACCATTGGAACGCCTGCAATCACAGATTCCAGTACTGAGTTCCGGCTGCAGTGAGTTACGACCCCACCAACGGAGTCATGATTTAACACAGCTACCTGCGTCGCCCATGATTTAACTACGTGTCCTCTCTCTTTGGTCTTCGCCAAGAATCCTTGAGGAAGCAACCAATTCATATCTGGTCAGTTTTTTCGTTAGTGGCCAGCCTTTGGTTTTTCTGGAGGTGGGTTCCTCACCACCCACAAGAACCTTTGCTCACTTCTCTCCAATCCAACAGCTATTTCCCTCATTTGTTGCATTGAAAACCATTCCAAGCTGCCAAAACACAGAAATACTACACTTTTACTAGGTTGCAAATCTAGCCACTTTAAGCCCTGAGGAACACCATCACCATCAGCAGCTCCCCCGTTAGCAATGAAAGGTCCGGCACAACAAATGGGAGGTGTGGGAAGGCATGAGTCCATCACCAATCGTTCTGATGATCAATGGCTCGATGGATTCAAAGTCTTCACTATAATCAAAGCAAACTCGAGCAAGCAGGTGCAGACATCTAAGAAGATTTCATACAACTTGTTGCATTAAGGGTAATGGCGTTGTCATATCTGAGGATGGAATTGGTGGGACGCCTGGGATATCAACAAGAGGGTTTACATATTAGCTCTTGTGGAGGGTGGGCAAATGAAGCAAAGAAGCAAAAGAACCAGCACCAGAAGTGTAGAAACAGTAAGCCAGAAGATCCAGATCAGATGCAACTTTGAATGCAACGCCTCAGAAAAAGTCCACGATAATGACGTTGACATCTTAGTTGTTGATGTAAGGATTTAGATTTCAGATGGCAAAAATGCTATTTTCTTATTTAATGATGCAGCCCTTTTTTATTGGTTCCGCTAGAGACACCCAACTAATGCAATCGGAAGTCTAGCAATCTTGTATCCAATTTTTTTTTCTGTGAAGAGGAAATACCTACACTTACCATTCAGCCTCAAAATCGCTCTTAGTTCTTCCACAATGGCCAAAACTTCCGAATCTGTGAAGTTACTATATCTAGGGCGTGCACTAGACCTCTCCGCACCTGTTCCTACAATCAGGTTCCCTATCGTTTAAGAGAAGCATTGATTCATAGAACTTAGAATCCACACACTAATTGTACGTAGACGTAACCCATATAACTAAAAGGAAAAAAGCAGAAATCACGCTAAAAACAATGCTTACATTATGCTTTGCTGTCTCATTCACTGTATCAAACCCCAATTGAGATTTGACATAGACATGTGAGTTGATTCCAAAAAGGAACAAAAAATTGGATACTGTTTGACAGAGGTTACCACTTATCCATACACATAATGTCATCTAATAAACGGTAAAACCTCCATGAAATCACATCCTCAACTTTCAGCAGCGATAGTACCAATCTACTCACATTTCAAAACTTGTGATAAATGAAACCCAAAAAACAGCTTATTACACAAGCCTGCTTCTTGAATGACAATTTTCTACTCGGAGCAAGTTGACTGCGTAAAACGCCAGAAAGTAACCAAACTTCAATATTAAAGATGCAAATGAATTGGCTCTGCACATGCACTTACATAGAAAAGTAAATACAACAGACATAGAGAGCAGGCATTACTCTAAGATACTACGGAATGCTCCTCACATATTGATCAAGGGCTGTATTAAATAACTCGCACCTGCAAGATGAAAAAAAAAAAAAAATCAAGCACATAGATATAAAGAAAAAAAAATAGTAATCCTTTTAGCAAAATCAATGATTAGTAGTGACCATGCCAAATAACTAACAGGGAAAGAAGTATCTTAACTTTGTGATTAAGGCATCTCTATGGAGCTAACAGAATAACTTTGTTGAAGTTCTTGGCATGCGAGGAAATAGTACTTGCCAAGAATAAAAAAAAAGGAGGGAGGAAACATATCCTAGAATAATGCCTTCTAGCCCACGGCTTAAGCTACTAATTTATACTGCCTTCCTTTCTATACTTGCAAAAATTTCCCATCAGTCTATTTAAAGGCTTCAGCGAAGACACCCATTAGACTGAACATCTGCCTTTATGAACCATTTCATTCATAGCATAACCAATTTACAAGATTAATTGATTGGGAGAAATAAAACTACATTAATCTCAATACCAAACTACTCATCAATTTCAGGGACCATTGACATGTAATTTTACTTATTGGAGGCATGTGGCTTCACTGCATGTTAACAATCATTTATCTTAGTAAATTTCAATATCATATAACCCCTTGTTGACAGAATATTTAGTAGTATCCACCCCAGGGCATAAATGGACAAAGTAAGGTCCTAAAAAGTATCACAATTTTTGTCTCAAACAAAATGTGAATCCAGTTCATTACAGGGCATAAATAGTATCATAAAACTTAAATATACCCTGCCATAAGAGCTCCAAGCACAAAATAGGAAGTCACAAATCGCTTGTTCAAAGGTCATTTAAATAAACATTAACTTTGAAAATGCTGCAGTGCAATTCATTAGTTTTTTATTTAATAAAATTAAATATTGAGAAACTTCAGTTCGCAGGGACAACCAAATATATAAATAAATGCACCATTAATAAATAGGAATGACCAGCACAACAGAACAATGCTTAAAGGATAAGCATGTAAACTATTCATGGAAAAGAAAGGGGGTTATTTACCTGATTGGTGTTCCAGGGGTATAGAGTGGGTTCTTGGCAACATACTCAACATACAAGTTATAAATATACATTAGTGTTTCACGAAGATCACCACTCCTAGGATTAGTGACCAATATAAACTGCACAAAAGGACAAATAGAGTGGCAGAATCAGAATTTCTTTTAGAAAAATATACAATTTTCCCAACATCAAAGATTGGTGGTAATAATCTTGTCAAAAACATACAGCCAAACAACAATACTGGGCATTAGTCAATGTCAAGCAAGGTCTTGATAGCAAGCTACCATGGAATTATTTTAATTGTGCGAGTAGCTAGCCTCAAAGAAGATTTTGCGTGGTACTCGTCGAATTAGTAATTTTGAGAAATAAGCATGCTAGACTTCTCAGCAATATGAGGCATCTGATGACATAAAGAAGCGATGACCCTATAGAAGAACCTTTGAGATAAAACTTTTGATTCTTGGTAGGCTTTTGGATCTAAGTTTAAGTGCTAGTCCAACAGGGACGATCCCTTGTAAGAATTCAACAATATAAAGGAAAGTAAGTTCAGGGCTTTCCTAGCAACATGATGCACATTATGTCCATAAGATCTTCCATGAGTTCCAAACACTATGTCCCTGGTTACTTAACTTGACAGAGGACTGCCCTGATAGATAGATAATCACGTTGAGAAATTCCAAGTCCTCCAATATTACTAGAAACCACAATTTGAAACCACCCGATCTTGTAACTCACAGCACCAGTTGGAATTTTTGAAGTTAGAGCTGCAATGATCTACTGATTCACAATATTTAGCCCAATCATCTGTGAGGCAAAACGTCAAGCACATAAAAATTAACCTAAAAAAAAAAGGAACCTCTAAAATGCGGAGTGCATTTAGAGGCAAATTGTAGATTGAATTGCTTCTAACCCTCGTAATAAGACGCGATGTTATCTTGTTAAATTAAAATGAAAATTGGTGATGAATTCATCAGTATCCGGCATCTAAGTTAAAGCACCGTAACAAAATAGAAAACAATAGTGAAACATAAAAAGCAGACCTTAATCCCAGAGGGTGTTTCCATGAAACTAAGTTTGTAGGTATTAGTACGGAAGCTATGGAAGGAACAACCTTGACCTGGCAACTGAGGGACCCCTAAATTTCCCTTCTCAGCGCTGCGCATCATCAACAATTCAAAAATTATAAACCGAAACAAGTGATGCAGAAAGGAATGGAGAGAAAAAAAAAAAGAAAAAGAAAAAAGGAGACCTGGTGGGATCCATTTTGGCAGTAAGGGATTTGAGGGAGAAAAGAAGACCGAACATGAGCTTATGATCTTGTTGAGGGTTGAGAGTGTGGAGAGGCCGATTCCACTCCCTGTAAAGCAAGCACACTCCGTTTCGATTGAAGACGTATATCATGTGGGCGTTGTTCCCCGTCGTCGTTGGCACCGACGGTGATGGACTGATCTCTGAACCTCCAAAGAACTGCATTCTTTTTTCTTGTTCAATTTTCTGTTATACAGTGCTCCGATTGTATTATCTTTTTGCTGATCTTTCTTGCTGCTTCCGTCCCAGATCTGATATGTATAATCAGAAACCTGACCTTGTCTATAGCGATTCTATACACCAAGGATAAGATTGGAAATTGGATTTTGGAGGCAGTGACCGGATGATTCGAACACGACGAACAAAAAAGAAAAGAAAATAAAATAAATAAAAAGTAGTGAAAGGATCAGAGCGATGTCGTTTTGAATGAGTAACATTCCGAGTGTAGAATTGGGCCCATCAAGCACGACTTCATCTTTAGTTAGATTGGCCCAATCAGTCTCGGTTTATTCATTATTGATAACGGGGACTATAATTAATCAAGCTGGTTTTTTTTGTCCTTTTCTTATAAAAAAAATTTGTACTATCATTTTATTATTAAAATTATAATAAGAGTGCATATGAGATGCCCACAGCCAAAGATACTATTATTTCTTGGCTAAAGATCCAATCCCAATCTTTATTCTTTCGATACAATAACACATTACACTATTTTTTAGTGAATAGCATTTGTCTGTTTTAATCAACTATACCAATATGATTCAATTTAATATATTCGAGTCGATTTTATTAATTTCATGATTTTGTCACATGAATTATAAAATAAATCAACTTAATTGATTGATATTTAGTGAATGAATTTAAAAATCGATTAGATCAAAAAGTTGAATTTAATTAAATAATAAAAAATAAATATATTATTAATATTTTAAACTTATCTATCACTCATTTTAATACACATGAATGAATCTTAGCTTTCAAATTTAAATTTTTTCTTCTAATTTCTCTCAAGTCTCGACTCCTCTCAGCTCTCAATACAATCTCACTCATTCTCACCCACAACAGTCACCTTTCACCCACCATTGACAAGCCCACCGCAGCCATCAACCACCAACCATCAGAGACCGAAAACTGAAGATTATTTGTTTGGTTGAAACAGATGATTTGGCCTTCAGATTTGTGGCCCAAAGCTATCTTGAATCTTGGTTGAAAGGAAGCAACCCATTGCGAATTCCTCACCATCCATCTTTTGTTTAAATTGCGCTAAGCTAACTGCTACTTTTTTTATGGGTTACCTGAGTTAAATGTTGCTTTTGGCTTTTCTTTGCTTTTTTCTTGAATTAATTCTGCATTTTGGACTTTTTCTTCTTTGTTGAAGACTAAGACAATGATTGGAGATAGGACCAAAAAATTCCATTAGTTGGAGTTTTTGCAAACCCTGCCTGGTGCTTAATGTTCTCAAGAGTTGTTAGGCACTTACCAAGAACCTACTTTGATCATTGTCTTGTTCTGGTGTCCCTGAAAGGACAAGTGACCCGATGTGGACCTAAACCATTTCGACTCAAAAAATGTGGTTTGACCATTCTAATTTTATCCCTCTTGTGCAAAGTAGTTGGAATCAAAGTAACTTATCATTCGCAAATACGGTAGAAGGCCATGAGGTGGACATGCAATATTGGAATAAAAATTCTTTTGGAAATATATTCCAAAGGAAAAAGAGAATTTTGGCTCAATTATTAGGAATTGAGAAAGCATTCGCAGCATCACCAAACCAATTCTGACTTGATCTCCAAAAGGTCTTGATGGCAGAATACAAACAAATCCTAAAGGCCGAGGAAGACATTTGGGCACTAAAATCTGGAGTCAACTGGCTCATTGATGGTGGAAGAAATATCAGATTCTTCCATGTAACCACCATTTCTAAGAGAAGACATAATTGAATCTTAGGATTGGAAAATCAAGCAAGGTTTGGGTTACTGATCCAAAAGAATGGGTACAATTGTATCTAATCATCTTCAACGCCTCTATAGTACTTCACACCACATAGGTTCCTTAAGATAGGAGGTGAAACCCAGGCAGATTGCTCAACTAGCTTCCGAAGATCATCTTGAGTTATTAAAATCCATCACTGATTTGAAAATTAAAAAAACAGTTTGGACTTTTAAAGCTTTCAAAGCTACAGGCCCGGATGATCTTCATCCCTTATTTTTCCAAAGGTGTTGAGGCATTATGACAAACGAGGTGTGCGAAATTGTAAAAAACATATTTGAATCCTCTTCAATGCCACAAGAGTTGAATAAAACTTTAATCTCATTGATCCCCAAGTGCAGCAAACCCTCACGGATTGAGCAGTTCAAACCCATTAGCCTTTGCAATGTTCCTTACAAGATTGTCTCAAAAATCATTGTTTAGAGATTAAACCCCTTGCTGAACAAGATCATATCTCCCTTTCAAGCTAGCTTTGTTCCAGGTCGTAACGGTTGAGATAATTGCTTTTTGTCCAAGATATGCTACAGTCTTTTACGAGGAAGAAAGGGAAAATAGGGCAAATGGCTCTTAAGTGTTGTTTTGAAGTAATAAATACAATAATACAAAAGTAATATATCATAATAAATTCACAATAATAAATAATAATCAACAATCAATAACACAAAAAAATAAAGAATTCTAAGGTTTACATGAAAACCATCCAATATAAAAGAAAAAAAATCACAGATCACCAAAAAAAATCTCTACTATCAAATAAATATACAAAAAAAATTTTAATTAAAATTAGAGCTAATCAACAATTAAAGAGATAATAAAAAAATATCACCAAATAGATAACTCAACAAATACACATTGAATTTGTTTCTAGAAAGCTTCAAACCGAATCTTCACTGTTCAGAATATAAAAATTTAAATCATAAATTTATTGATAAAATTTTAATTCAATCGGATCACGAATCGACTTCCATTCAACCAAATCTTTCTTTTCCTTTTTCTCTCTATTTTGGCTTCTTTTTTTTTCTTTCTTTTCTTTGTTTGCGAGGCCACTTTGTTTTTTACTTTAAAACAACTCCCACTTTTTTTTTATTAATTAGAGCTCTATGTAAAAAGAAAAACTAAAATCTATGACCTTTGATTGGTCTAAAATTAATTACAGGGTGCTGGATTCACTTTCCTAACATTAAGTTGGATCTGGAAAAGGCCTATGAATATATGGAAAGTTGTTTTGTTGGGAAAGTCTTTTAACTTTCTTTAATATTCCACAACCTTTAATTTTCACTTATCATGAGATGCATTTCCTCCTTAACTATTTCAGTTATAATGAATGGAGGCTGCTTGAAAGGATGATGCCTTTTAGAGCTTGGCAACTAGGAGACCTTTGATCCCCCTACTTGTTTATCATGTGCATGGAATTCTTAAGCCTCCAGATTCTTGAATCCTATGCTGATAAGAAATGGATGCCAAGTAAAGCCTCTAGAAATGGACTGCCTTTCTCACATATCATCTTCACGGACAATGTCATCTTATTTGGTAGAGTAGATAGGAAAGAATGCAGATGCAATGAGAAAGGTGTTAACAAACTTTTGCATTGAACCGAGGCAAACAATTAACCTTGAAAAATCTTGGGTCTTCTTTTCACCAAACACAAAACAAGACCAAATGCACAACATTGGCTTTGTGTTGGGAATCCGAGAAACAAATAGCCTAGGGAAATATTTAGGATTTCCGTTACATAAGGACAAAGTTAGCAAACATGACTATTCCTTCATCGTGGAAAACGTTCGAAATAAGCTAGTTAGATGGAAAGCAAACCTCTTCTCACCTGCAGGACGACTAACCTTGATTAAATCGGTTACCGAAACCATCCCTGCTTATTATATGCAGTGTGAAACTTTCCTGTCAGCATTTGCAATGAATTGGATCGTGTGAATAGGAACTTCTTCTAGGGAGATACAGAACAAAGGAAGAGAGTTCACCTCTTAAGCTGGAGTAAGTTACCTTAAGTAAACGTAAGGATGGTTTAAGGTTGAAAAAGTCTAGAGCTCAAAACCAAGCCCAATTAACCAAGCTTGTTTGAAGATTCATGCACCGGAAAGAAACACTATGGGCACAAACATTGCAAGCAAAATACCTAAACCAAGAAAGCCATGGGAAAGCTCTATCAAAAGCATCAATGACTTAGGGCTATGAAGTGGTCAGGACCTATAGTTGAAAAAGGGCTTGGCTGTATCGTAAGAGATGGAACCTTTACTATTTTTTAGAGAAGAGCATTTGTCTGTTTTAACCAACAATACCAATATGACTCAATTCAATTTGGTTTATTTGAGTCGGTTTTATCGATTTTACAATTATGTCGGGTGAATTGTAAAATAAATCAACTTAATCGATTGGTTTTCGGTGATTAAGTTTGAAAATCAATCAAATCAAAAATGTGAATTTAATTAACTAATAAAAAGAAATATATTATTAATATTATAGGCTTGCCTGTTATCCATTTTAATATACTCCAATAAAACCTAACCTCCAAATTTGAGTTTTTTTTTTCTCTGGAGTCTCGACTCTTCTCAACTCTCAACATAACCTCACTCACTCTCACCCACGATAGTCACCAACCATCCACTAATGGCCAGCCCATCGCAACCATCAACTGCCAACCACCAGAGACCAATATTGATGATTATCCATTTGGTTAAAACTGATGATTTGGCCTTCAGATTCATTGCCCAAAATCATCTTGAATCTTGATTGAAAGGAAGCAACCCACTGTAAATTCCTCACTATCCATCCCCGCTGAGCTGACTGCTATTTTTTATGGGTTAGATGAGTCGACTGCTATAATTTTTTTATTTTTTGTTACAAAAGAACAAACAAATATAACCGAACGAATCGGCCGAATTAAATCAATGTGATTATTTTCAGTTAATTATGACGATCGGTTCCGTTACTGTTAAAATTAAATCAATTAAATCAGTTTTTTAAACTAACCTATAAATAAACCAACCCGTTGGTTTGCTCTGCCATGCTATTTTTGGAACACGTATTTACTTCCGGTAAAACAGACTTCACACCGTATCTAACGCACCTGCTCCATCCAACAATTCGTCATAGCTTAATCCAGCATATCAAAAGGTTTAAAAAGAAAAATACCAAGTCACATTGTTCATCGCATTCAACAATGACAAGGTGGAAGTTTAAGACCAAAATAACTACACAAATCCCCAAAAGAAAGCTTAAAAACCAAAGATACAAAGTCAAGAATTCCATCTACCTTTACTTGGAAGCAAATTTCGGCATTCAAGCACACCCAAGCGACACACACATTACAAATTACATTGAAGAAAAGAAAACAACATTCACAGACCAAAATCCCAGTCCAAGTTACAATCTTCCCATTAGAAACAAAGAGCTCAGTATTCCCACTTCTTCATTTCCATACCATCAGGAGGACTTCCTTCTACCTTCTTTGCACCAACTTCTTTCCAGTTTGTTGAAAGCACCGTCCCATTTGACTCCACCTACAATGCATCACCAGATAATTAGAATGCACACGGCAAATGAGCAATTAAAGCCATTGTATTCTATCAATTAATTTATCCAATATTGAAGGGACAAATTAAATAATCTCTTGGATTGAAATATCTTACAAAAGATTTCTGCATGGCCCTCCTTGTGTCCTCATCAGCATCCTGATAAATGTCCCGGAAAAACTTATTCAAAGCCGCATCACCATCTAGCTTTTCATCTTTCTCCTGAAAACCGGCCACAAAGAGTCATGTGTCAATCATAATCGTATGCCACAACATCTGCTGGGTAGGTTGTCCCAAAAACACTAGGGAAACAAAAAATTATATATTTTAGTTTGATGTTCGACATACCTCCTTCTTTACTTGAGCTTCAATTCTATCCCAATCAACCCTCTTCGGTTTGGAGGATGGGTACACTGGTCTTTGATTTGCAGTAACTATAAACACAAGAATTAGTTTATGACCACGAGTGGATAAAAGGATCCAGTACATGCCACGTAATTAAATGGATGAAATATTCACGCTTCATGCAGCACAACTATTAGAACACTGATTAGCATGAGCATTCAATGATCAAATTCAACCAATCAAATGAAACTAGAGAAGATTTTCAATTGCAAAAGAATCCACATTGACAAACCTGAAAAATTATGGGTATAGATGTTAAAGCAAAAAATTACCACTGCAAGTTTCAATGCATTCTGGTTTTACACTTCAAGACCCCCCATATTGAAGAATAATAAATAGCAAACCAGTTTGTTTGAAACCAAATGAAAATGAAAATTTATTTATTTTGAGCAAGAAATAGAAAATCTTATCTATAAATAAATTACCAAGTTCAAAAACAATCTTTGTTGGTTTCCAAACAATAGATTTCAAGTTTTTCAAGTTGATCTCATAAAATTTTGCAAAATTCATTTATTACAAACACTAGCTTAACTACTAAAATGTCATTTCCAAGAAGGATTTACCTGCATAATGCGTTCACAATTTATGTTACCCAGTAAACATTTAAATTTTAAACTACCATTATATCTAGGTACAAAACTGCACAAGCATACACAGAGCATCATACAAACACAAACACATGGATGCACAGAGAGAATAAACAAGTCATGCAAAAATAAGCTAGGACGCTTACCAGTAACAGACAACATGCTACAGAAATCAACTTACCAGAAGATACATTAACCCTTTGGGGAACAACAACTTCCATGCTAAATGCAAGAGATGCCCACTGAATTGGTTCAGCTTTTGCCAGCCGAATCTCAATTTTGGTTGACCAAACATCATATCTGCACTTGTCAGGTATTATCTGTTCAAACATAGCAAAACACCGCAAGGAAAAATTAGCATCTAAACAAGAGATACAATCACACAGCAAAAAATTCAACATTAAAACTATTTGTCATTAGTGAACAGTAAACAACCTACATTTCAGGAAACTATTTTCATTAATTGCCAGTATTAACTACAAAGTTCTATGTTTGGACCTTTGCCCAAAGAGAAAATGCCATACTTAGTACCATACTCCTCTTACAAACCAGACCTCGACAACATGAATTTCATGCAATACCTTTCCAAATAAGCGAGGTTGGAAATGATATACATCTTTACCAGGAGCATTGATGGCAACACTTAGCTGCATAGCAACAAAGAAACGTACCAGATCTTTAGATTATATACAAATAAGAAACTAAACAGTACTCAATAAACTCACAAGTACAGAGGCACAAAAAGGCGAAATGAAGACAGCTGAATTAATGTGCAACTTACTATTTGTTCACCATAATCTACTTCAACACATTCACGTGGTATTCCTTTAGCAAATATTGTGACAACCACTTCCTCTGGTTTCTGGTAAAATTCATGCCTGGACAAATACGTTTAACCAAATTCGGTACACATCATTAAATGTATAAAGCACTGACATTACAAAGAGAATACATAGGCACAAACCTGTAAGTTGGTTTGGGTGGTGCTGCCACAGTCACTGGATCAGGCAGATCCTTGTCTGGCTTATCTTCTTTTGCAGGTACAACATTTGTTGTCACCTCTTCCTGCGTCTCCTTTGATAAGTCACCAGTTTCCTCTAAACAAACACACAAATTCATTAGTAATACAAGGGAGGTTATTAAGATGATATAGGATATTTTTAAATATATAGCAATTCATGCAGCTAAATTCATCCATTGCTGAAAGTCCTTATTTACGGCTAAGTACCTGCAATGCGCTCCTCACATTCTTTGATCAACTTGGAAAATCTTGACTCTCCTGGTGCCAAACCGGCACCAATCTCCAAGGCAGCCTTAGCAGTATGATACTCCTCAAGCTTCATACACGCAGTACTGCAGACATTCGTTTACATATTATTATAAAGGACTTCGCATAACTGCCTCCAAAGCAATAAATAAAGTTTGGAAAAAGAGTAAATATGAACTTAGCAATTTTTATCAATTATTAGAGTTTCCTATAATAATCTTCATCAGAAAAATTCAAGAATTCCTTCACTAATTATATTAAAGGTGCCATTTGATTTTAGTGCAGATCGTGCAAGCCAATGAAGAAAATAAAAGTAAAGCAGCAGCACGCATAATAAAACATTAAAAAAAACCCTACAGCATTGGAACAACCCAAATTATCAAATTAAAGAAAATAATTAGATATGGAAAAATCTACTAACGCTTTACGCAAGTAAGCTTTAGACATGTAAGGGTCCAAGTCAATTGCTTTGTTTGCATCCGCGACAGCCTCTGCGCAAACAAAAAGTACAAAAACAACAAAAAAAAATTAACAATTAATCTTTAAAAATATATATAAAGTAAGATAGAATGGGAAAAGAAGGGAGATACCGGGGAGATTATTGAGTTTGATGTTAGCTTGAGCGCGGTCAGAGTAGAGTTCAGGGTTTTTAGGGTTAAGTTCGATGGCTTGAGAGTAGAGATCGAGAGCGAGTTCGAAGTGGTCATCGATGAAGGCTTCTTTGGCTTTGATCTCCAGATCAGACGCCATTGCAAGGGCAAAGCGAGAGAAGCAGAAAAAGAAGTCTCTAGAAGAGAGGAGAAAGAAGGGGATTTTGCTTTGTGAGAACTGTATGAGAGAATACGATGGACATTGAGGAAACCAATAAAAAGAGATTAAATACTGAACAAATTAAATAGAGTGAGTAGTCTAAGACGACCTTATTTATTTTTAAATTGAGTTTAATTTTTTATTAAAAAAATTAAGTTTAAATTAAATATACTGTTTGTTTAATTTTTAAAAATTTTATAAGTACATTAGGGGTATATCTTGCGTCTATTTTTTAATATATATTAAGATATATGTTATTTTATTAATTATATTTATGGAGTTTAAAATTTTATATAAATTTTTTTAATTTATGATTCCATAAAAAAATAATTTAATTAATAAAATTATCACTTTACCTCATAATTTTTTAATTTTTTAAGGTTAATTATAAAAATGACCCACGTATTATTTTTTTGTTAGTTTATTATCTAAAAAAAATAAAATTTTTAATTTAGTACTCCAATTTTTACTTCATCATCTATTTTGTTAACTGATATTAATGTCGTTAATCAATTTATTGATATCACATAAACATCCAAAAAGATATTGATACTTATAAAAAAATTAATCAATACCACATCATCAGTTGACACGTCCAAATTAAAAGAAAATTTTTTAAAATTCTAAAAATTTCATTAAAATTCAAAAATATTTCTAAATTTTTTTAAAATATAAAATATTTTTAAAATTAAAAAAATTTTAAAAAGCTGAAATATTTTTAAAAAATTTAAAATTATGAAAACTTAAAATTTAAAAAAATTTCAAAAATTTTAAAAAAATTACAAAAAATTAAAAAAATGTTGAAAAATTAAAAAAATAAACATTTTAATAAAAATAAAATTTTCTTAAATTTCAAAAAAATTTTAAAAATTGAAAATATAAAAATATAAAATTTTTTGAAAAAATAAAAAAATTTTAAAAATTGTAAATAATTTTTTTATATTATGAAAATTTTTCATTTTTTGAATCTTTCGATTTTAATTTTTATATATTTTATGAATTTTTAGTTTTTTTAATTTCAAAGTTTTTATTAAAATTTATTTTTTTAAATTTTTTAGATTTTTTAGATTTTTAATAATTTTATATAATATTTAAGTATTTTGAAATTTTAGAATTTTTTAATAAAATTTTGGATTTTTTTTGAAAAAATTTAGATATTTTTAATTTTCAAAATTTTTAAAAAGCTTTTAAATTTTTTATTTCAATTTTTAAGTTTTTTGTTATTTTTCTAATTTTAAGAAAATTTTATTTTTATTAAAATTTTGAGATTTTTTGAATTTTTTTAGTTTTTATATTTTCAATTTTAATATTTAAAAAAACTAGTTTTTATATTTTCTATAATTTTTAAAATATTTCAATTTTTTAATTTTTTTAAATTTTTGAAATTTTTTTTAATGTTGATGTGGTAATTGATGAATTGATGCTGATTAAACTTTTGACACATGTCACAATCTTATTAGATATTCATGTAACGTTATCAAATTAATTAATAATATTAGTTTGAAATACTTATCTGAATGACAGAATGAAAATTCGAATATCAAATTGATAATTTTATTTTTTAAGTATAAATTGATAAATATATAATATAAGGGTTATTTTTATATTTAACTTTTTTTATTATTTTTCCTGTCTTTTGAGAACCCAATTTCTGTGGCAACGGGGGCATGTATCTTGCTTGGATGTTAATCTAGGAATTTGTGATTTATTAGAAATTAAATCGTGATTAACTAATTATTGATGACCAAAAATGTGTACAATTTATTTTTTCCTTCTGTGTTTACATATATTCCATGCTTCTACATACGGCAAGGCCCATTAAGCAATAAATGAAAAAAGTTTCTGGCCAATCCTTTACACTTTTGATACCTTTGATCCAACAATTGCCCCCACATTATTAACAATTCGGAAATTTATTATCCTGTGCCTTGGATTGTGAATAGAATAATCATGGTTTAGATTTCACATTTCAAAAACTTTTTTCATGGTCTCATTTGTTATGGCCTAATTCACCAAGAAAACTTCCTTGATAGTGTCAACGGGATCAAGGAAATTTCCATAAGCATGACACTGAAAACCAGAAAGGATGGAAATTTCTTAATATCATCAAAGAAATTTCAATTACAATGAATTCAAAAGCTCATGAATCCGAGTCCAAAATGTTACACTGATGACTAACGAGTCCAGTGGTTAATGTTCGTTAGGATGTAATAAATGTTGTAAAAGAAAGGATGTTGTAACGGTTTTGAAATTATTAGACGAAAATTTTAAAAATATTTAAAATAAAGAGGGTTACTTTTAATATTTTTTATTAAGTGTGATTGATGATTTAAAAATTTTAGTTTTTAATAAAATTTTAAATTAATTAAAATTTATTAAAAAATAACTTTTGGTCTATGAAAATTAAAGTTGAGTTTGAAAGTGCAATTAAGTATAAAGAATAATTAATACCACTCACAACGTTCGTTTTAAAAATTGTACCAATTAATTATATATATTATTATTTAATTTTCACAAAAAATATCTTAATTTCAATATTTAAAAATGATTCCTTTGATTTATATTACTGTAAGAAAAATCATTTGTTGTTTTTTTTTTAATTTTTTATAGATATTTTGCTTGAAAGATAAATAAAAAACTTTGTGTATTTAAAAATTCTCAAAAATATTCCAATAACTTGGCAATATTAAAGGGAACTTTCTCACTCAGAGATTTCTTAAAAATTGCTATTCAAAATTTTCAAGAATCCCATCATCGACGGTTCATATTTATCTTTAATATTTATATTTACCATGGATATAGTAAAATATGATATCTATAATTTAATCCAAATAATATTTTCTAAAAATTTATTTCTTATTCTATTTATTAAAAAACTAAAAATTTTTATCAAAAATTATTCTAAATGCTTCACTATATTGGTAGTATTTTAGATAAATTTTCTCATACAGAGATTCTTAAAAAATCATTACTCAAACTTCTTTAAGATCTAATTCTCGAAAATTTTCATTTATTTTCAAAAATGGTATGTATGCATAAAACATGATATTCATGAATTAATTTGTAATATTATTTGTTAGCTTTTTAGGTGATATGGTGATCCATGAGGGAGGTGAATTAGATTTCTCCAAATTCTTCCCAAACAATGATTTCAATATAGTTGAATAAAAATTAAAACAATAAGCACTTTTGATGAAAATATAATGCAAACAATAATAATTAATGAACTTAAAATCAAATATAAACAACAATAAATTGTAAGCAGATAAGGATAGAGAAATCAAATATAATGATTTATAGAGATTCGATCTTTCTCCACAAGGCACTTACGTCCTCTCTCTTGGTTGTTCACACCAAGGCTTCAATCCACTAATTGAAGAAAAATTTTTACAAGATACAAACCTATCTTGTACAAAATCTCTATATTTTTCACAAAGCTTAGATAACAACCTCTACCCTTACAATATTAAGAGGATACCCCACCTCTTGCTTACAAGATAACTTAAAATAATTTTTACAAACTAAAATACCTCTCAAGGTTGAGTGTTTGCCTAATGAAGTACAAAAAAAATGATAAATGAAACACAACAATTTTTTGGATACAAGAAATACAAAGGATATTGAATTTAAGCTCTAAAAACTCTTGATTCTTTAAGAGAATGAAAATATAACTTATTGGCTCTTGCTCTCTTGATTCATCAATCATCTTGGTGTGTTAGAGTGCCCAATTTATAGAGAAATTGAAGAAGTAGTTGTTGGGGAAGCTTAAGAAGTGAAAGTAGCTGTTGAATGCATAAAAAAATAGTCTTTGGTGTGATTTCGCCCAGACCCGATTGATTTCTTCCTTGAGGGAATCGATTGATTCAAGTTTTATGCTATTTCATGCTTAAAAAACATGACTCGATCGATCCATTTCATGAGAGGATCGATCCTATCAATGGCTAGGTGGTTATCTCATATTTTGTACTCTACTCACTAATTTGATCATATCTTGAGTTATATAAATCCAAATCACAACCATTTGAAGATTTAGAAACTAGACTTAAAGGGTTTTCTATCATATAAATTTACCACCTAATTCATTAAGTATGAATTATAGTGAATTTTCAAAGTTACCCCTTGTGCAGTTTCTTTGACAACTGTAGAGGGTCTAGTAAAAATTCAAAATCTTTTCTTAGAAAATTTAAAATTTGATTTTGTTTAATCCATTAGAAAGTAGACTCAAAGAGCTTTCCAACCATATAAAATTCAAATATTAAAACTTTGTGAATTAATACAAAAAAATAAAATAAATTCAATGTTGGAAAACTTTGTTCTTGTAAAACAGTTTTCTTAAGTTAATATTTTTCTCAAAATCAATATTATCAAAATTGTATTAAGTCCAAAATAAATAAATTCACTTTAAAAACAACAATTGGACTTTCATTTAAGCTCAAATAAATAATCTTTAAAGATAGATTTAGTTTAAGAAATATGAAACCAAGAAAGGTTTGTTTAAACTTTGAAAATCATATTATTTATTTAGTACAAAAATATAAAACTTAAGAACATGTACTAAATAAATCTTTTTCAAAATTTTGATCAAGTTTATTTATCTTTAATATTTTGTCATTTCAAAATAAGGATCAATTCAAGGCTAACATTATTGTATTATACAAAAATTCATATTTTTTTGTAAAAAAGAATAAACAAGAAATTTTTTACTGAAAATTATTCTAAATACCTCAATACTTTAGTAATATTTTAGAAAACTTTTCTCACTTAGCAATTTTTTGAGAAATCACTATTCAGATTTCTCTACAATTCCATCATCGAAAATTCACATTCATTTTTTGTATTTTTTTAAAATGCACATAATGCAAGAATTTTTACATGATACAAATAATAAAAATAAATTCACAACTTTTAAAATTTTCCAAATATTTGAATTTTGGTATCATATTTTTTTTTATTTTCATCATTTTAATTAGAGTGACACTACTTATCTTAAAACATGTACTAATTTGGTTGTTTATGGTTTAATATAAATATGCATGCAATAAGAAGAACATAAAATAAAAAAAGTAAAATATTTACTAAAATATTTGGGTTTTGACT